GTACACCACTACATCCCCTAAATTATTTTGCTTAACACCTTGACCCAACTCCCTCCCTGCACCCTCATAACAAGATTGTTGCTCAATCTCCTTCAACAGTTCTAACACCCTATCTTCCTTCCCTTCAAAAGAAACACCTAGAAACTTTCCAAAGTTTAATAGTTTATCCTCCATCCAGAAAGACATATCCCCTCCTCCAATCCGTGACGAAATTGGACAGGTGTCTTCTATATGTACCCTTTCCTTGCCCCTACCGAAGGAATACAAGACCATAGCATTGCTAGCAGTAGGAACTTTAGGTGCCGAAAGGATCTCACCCTTTCCTTGAGGGGTATCAATCTCTGAAATTTGCACCTCGCTGCTATAAGAGTGACCAGAAACACCAGTAGGGTAGCAGGAAGGGGGAGAGCATGGAACCCTTGGTGGCATCTTAACTGGAAATACTGGTCCAACACTAACATCAGATAGGGCATGCTCAACAATCTTCCCAGAAGAAGAAGAAGAAGAAGCTTGAAGTGTAGCCTCAACACAACTAAGCCTAGGAGCAGATGAGGGGGCGATGGAGCTGGGTCCATCAGAGGCGGGAGGGCGTGGAATAACAACACCATCTATAGCCGGTGTCGCCCCTGAAGCAGCGGCCATCGAAGAGGGGCGCAAGTCACTAGAGCTCGGAGCAGAAATGTCACTGTGTGTAGCACCATTGGCCGAAGGAGGAAGAACGACTGCTCCCATATGCTTAAGAGCCTTATCAGATGAAGCTTGAAATAATCTGGGCCCCTAAGGATCAATTCTAAATAGAATTGGGAAAAGTTGTTGGGCTCATGTGAGGAGGCCCAAGCCTATATTTGCTGAAACCTTGCATGGCCCTAGGATAGTTAGAAGATGACCGGCCTATTCTGCCTTTCCAGCCCGCATCACTAACCCATTCATGTCTTTTCCTCCTGTTGAAATTTTGTCTTCTTCTCCCAAAATCCGTGCTCCCTTCTGATTCGAGAACATGTGGTTGAAGGTGCCGGGATTTGGTGACAAGGTGAAAGAATGGTGGACAAGCTACGGGGTATTAGGGACACCTTCATTCCGTCTTTCGAAGAAACTTAAATTGCTCAAGGGAGATATTATTAGGTGGAATAAGAAGGTTTTTGGGAGGTTAGAGGTTAAAATGAGGGAGCTTATGCATGAATTGGGGGATCTAAAGAGAGGGAAAGGGGCGGGGAGTTAGATGAATTTGAGAAAGAGAGATTGGGGGAGGTTAAGAGGGAAATAGTCAAGTTAGCAATAGCTCAGGAGACTAGTTGGCGGCAAAAATCGAGGGCGCTATGGTTAAAAGAGGGGGATTCGAATACCAAATTTTTTCACGAGGTGGCGGTTGCAAATCGAAAGAGAAACTTCATAAAGTCCTTAGTTGTGGATGGGGTGAGGATTGAGGGGGAGGTAAAAGGGGCGATAGTGGGGTTTTATGAGAACTTATACAAAGAGAAAATTAGTTGGAGGCCGACTTTGGGGGGAATAGAGTTCAATCACATAGGGGAGGGAGATAGTGAGTGGCTAGAATGGCTTTCGAGCACGAGGTTGTGTCGAGTTGTGCTGGTGATAAGGCCCCCGGCCCTGATGGTTTCTCCTTGGCCTTCTTCCAGCTCTGTTGGGACACCATTAAGGGGGAGTTGATGGAAGCCATTGAATACTTCCATGTGAATGGTCTTTTCGAGAGAAGTATCAATGCTTCTTTTATTACTATTGTGCCTAAGAAAGAAGGTGTATCTTGTATCAGTGACTACAGGCCTATTAGTCTCGTGGGGAGCATTTACAAGATTATTTCTAAAGTGCTTTCCAACAGACTCAAAAAGGATCTTGACGTGTCTGTTTGTCCTCCCAGAATGCGTTTGTGGAAGGTAGGCAGATCCTGGATGCCGCTTTGGTGGCAAATGAACTTGTAGACTCCAGAAGGAAAAATAGAGATCCCGGCTTACTATGCAACTTGGACCTTGAGAAGGCTTTTGACCATGTCAATTGGGAGTTCCTTGATTTCATTATGATGTGGATGGGGTTTGGGGCAAGATGGAGGGGATGGATCAAGTTCTGCATTTCCGCAGTCAGATTCTCTGTCCTGGTTAATGGTAGCCCGTGTGGTTTCTTTGGCAGCTCCAGGGGTCTCAGGCAAGGAGACCCCCTATCCCCATGCTATTCATTCTAGTGATGGATGCTTTGAGTAAAATGATGGATCGTGCAGCGGGCGGAGGCTTCTTGAGAGGATTCTCATCTCCGATCGGGATGCCCAGTGCCTGAAGAGTCTCTCATTTGCTTTTTGCGAATGACACCCTGGTTTTCTGTGATCCCGATATGGATCAGTTGACCTACCTGAAGCAGGTCCTGCAGTGGTTTCAGATAGTATCAAGTCTCAAAATCAACCTCGGCAAGTGTGAGATTTTCCCGGTGGGTGAGGTTGCTAACATTGATGCTTTGTCTTATGTTCTCAGATGTAAGGTGGGCTCCCTTCCCACTACTTTCTCTCATTGGACGCTTCGCATAAGGATACTACGGTTTGGAATCCAATGATCGAAAGGGTTGAAAAAAGATTAGCAGGTTGACAGAAATGGTACTTGTCAAAAGGTGGAAAGAAAGTGCTCATTAAAAGCACTTTATCGAGTATGCCCACCTATTACTTGTCCTTGTTGCAAGCTCCTGTGAGCATCACAGAAAAACTAGAGCGGCTTCAAAGGAATTTTCTTTGGGATGGAACTAGAAAGTATCATCTAGTGAAGTGGCAGACAGTCACTTCCCCAAAGAAGTGGAGTGGACTTGGAGTAAAAGATCTTAGGGTATTCAACAGAGCTTAGTTGGGGAAATGCCGGTGGAGATTCGGGGTAGAAGAGCATGCTCTATGGAGGGAGGTCATAGTAGAAAAGTACGATTCCACAGGAGGGGGTTGGAGGACCAAGGCAATCACAACACCTTTCGGGTGTGGCATGTTGAGGAGCATCATGAAGAATTGGGAATCCTTCAGTGGCAAGATCTCTCACAGGGTGGGAGATGGAAGGAGAATCAGCTTCTGGAATCGTAGGTCGGGTGGAGAGGATACTCTGAGGGTCTCCTTCCCCCACGTCTTCAGAGTTTCAAATCAGAAGGAATTGATGGTCCAACAGATTCGTAAGGAGCATGAAAGGGATAGTATGGGACCTCTCACTTAGAAGGAACATGCAAGATTGGGAGATTGCGGAGCTCCAAGATTTATTGACACTGCTATATGGGCAAGACAGGCCCCGGCCATCTTGTGATTCTTGGAAATGGGGTTTGCGTGGCGATGGTCTGTTCACCGTAAAGTCCTTTTACCAGAGTATGTTGGTGAGAGAGAAGGCCTCTTTTCCATGCTCCTCGATCTGGATTCCTAAGGCGCCCACGAAGGTGTGCTTTTTTGCATAGCTAGCGGCGAGGGGAGTGATTTTAACTTCTGATAATCTGCGAAAGAGAGGAATTACACTTGTTAGTTGGTGTTATATGTGTAAAAGCTCAGAGGAAGAAGTTAATCATCTTTTGTTGCATTGCCCTGTGTCCTCGGCTTTGTGGAGGGCGATCCTGAACCTTTTTGGTGTTCAATGGGTGATGTCAAGCATTGTAAAGGAAATGTTATATAGTTAGGCCAGTTTTCGTAGAAGAAGAAAGCAAAAGGCGTGGAAGTTCGCCCCGTTAGCTTTCATGTGGATAGTTTGGGGGGAGAGAAATATGAGAGCTTTTAAGGGGATTAAGTCTCCTTTTTCACATCTTAGGAATAATCTTTTATCTTTGATCGCGTTTTGGTGCACTCATATAACCCCTATTTGTATAGAAGATTGGGCGTCTTTTGCAGAAAATCATGTTCCGATATAAATTCTCTAATTTTTGGTATACTTTCAGGAGTTCTCTCCCTTTTGATTAATACAATTTACCTTATCAAAAAAAATGTTAATAAACTGCCCCTGTTCTTCAAGATATCTCTAATGCTATATATATTAGTAATGAACAATCACTTTTTCTCAAGTTTATTCCCGCTAACATATTTTTCTTGCAATGAAAATCCAGCTCATATGTCTTAAATCTTATTAAATTCCCATCTTTGTCCTTCATTCAATCAAACAAGCATATATTAGTGGTTCTATTTCAACAACTAATTTTTTGATCATCTTTACAAGGACAAAATGATTTCATTTTAATAGCTTTTTTGAGAGAACAAAAAAGTACTAGTAACTTGTTTTACTGTCTAAACATAAATGACAAATAGTTATAAATTATATAAGTTTGACAACTAAAATACACTCAATCATCAACTAATTGTAAGCCCTGCTAAATAAACGAACAACGTTCCCCAATCAGAATTTCAAGTACTATTCTTTTTCTTTTTATAACAGAATAATCGTTGTTTCCAGCAATTAGCCTGCCCTCTACCTTCTCTATCTAAACGCCAGATAGCAGGATTCAAGCTTGTGACTTGCGCCTACCACACATTGCGCTGTACTGCCTTCAGCGGCGGAGCCACAGCCCGCCACAGCCAAGGAAGCAGGTTTAATCAAATCAACTTCGTTAGAAACTTGTTAAAATTCATGGCCCAGCCGCTGACTACCTTTGTTATTGAATAAAGCCCCAGGGCCATGAATTATTCTTCTCATTTTTAGGAAATTTTCCATAAGCTAATTTTCTTATCAAAGATGAAATTAACAATATTCTTAGATTATTTACTGTGCTTTATCGGTTTTACTTACTGTGAAAAAAACTATAAGCAAGATATTTTGCGCTGTAAGAGTAGAATTGAAATAATAAAGCTTGAAATACCTTACCTTGAGGTAAGCGTAAAGCGTGGGGCAAGCAATGCAAGCAACCGCCGGCGAATCAATCGACCGGCAAAGAGCGAGGACTTCAGCGGCGACAGTTTCAGCTGTTTCGCGGTCGTACCAGAACTGGCTGAGCCGCCAATCCTCCGTCACAAGCGCCACGTCATCCTCCGCCTGTTGCTCCACCGCCGCAGCTGACGAAGCTTCCGCTAGTGCTCCGTTCTGTTCCGCGAGGAACTCTTTAAGTGCTTCTAGTGCGTGAGAGCTTAGCGCCGGCGTATCGTCGTCGCCGTCGGCCTCTAAAACGACGTCGTGGTGTACGGTGTCTTTTGCAGTTTCCATTTTTGCTAAACCCTCGCGACCTCGGAGCTTTTTTACAATTTTGAAATTGAAAGAAAGGAAAAATTATATATAACCCCTCAAAGTATGGCTCATATACACTTTAAACCTCCTTGAATTTTGATTGAGACTCATCTCTTCAAGTGAAGTACTTTGCTCCTGACGTTTATCATTTTTTGTGTCAAATTGACTTCTATAACAGTTGATAATAGTTTTTTTTTTTTCTGTGTCAAATTGACTTCTATAACAGTTGATAATAGTTTTTTCCTTTTGTCTCATAAGTCAAACAAATTTCAGTAATAAATACTCAAACGCTATCAAAAATATGTACAATGTTATAAAACAATGAAAAAGAATAGTGCAAAGAAAGAGAGAGAATTCTTATTGGTTTTGGGATTAATTACAATGGAATAGAACTCTTCTATTTATAGGAGAAAAATGACTTAGCCACCAAGTAACAAACTCTAAAATATAGACATTCATCTTAAATAAAATTCTATTTATAACACTCCCCCTTGAATGTCTATTCAATGGATAATGTGCCTCGTTAAAACCTTAACTAAAGTAAAATCCAGTGGGAAAAAATTCTAGCGAAGGAAAAAGAGTACACATATCTAACAATACGTCTTTTAGTTGCCTCATTAAAAACCTTGCAAGAAAAACCCAGTGGGACAAAACCTTGTAAGGGAAAAAAAGTACAACGTGTATTAACTCCCCTGATGAGAGCATCAATTCACATCTTTGAGTCTTCACATCCTAGTCTTGTGCATTAGCTTCTTGAAGGTTGACGTCGGTAGAGATTTGGTGAAATAAATCAGCCATATTAATTCCAATCAATATGTTGCACCTTGAAAATCCTCGCTATCACATTATCATGCTTATAGTTATAGCAAGATACAAATGTGCACAAATTACACTTAGGATGTAGTACTTCATGACCAAGAATTCTATATGCTTTAAACAATTTAAATCCTTCAAGGATTGTGATATAAGTTAAGTCATAGAAGCCATATGAATGGACTTTAGATGCATACCAAGTTTTTATGTCATGCTAGATATAAGATAGATAAAAATGATTGTACACACCATTGACTTTATACTTTCAAGTGTTTAAACTGCAGTCCAAAACTATATGTCTTTCGTATGAAACCAATTTTGTTCGAATTGTATCTCTTTCGTTTGGCCAATATTTTTTGTGTTTGTATTCGACAAACTTAAGATCCTCATCTATACTTGGCGCTATCATATATGTCATCGACGAATATTTTATATCGGTTCTAATATATTTTTCATAAAGACATAACATAGAGATCTCTTAATTCATATATTCAGGTACCTGAATCTCTCATGAGATTTTATGAAGTGTTATGTCATGTGATCTTCTAGATCACTTGCCTCCTTTATTATGATCATTTGCTCAGCTTCTTTATCAAGAAGTTTATTTGAAACCGATTTGTCTATATGATTTAAGCGTACCATAGACTTTGTCCTTCTAAGACTTAATTGGAGCATTTGCAATGAGAATATAGTTACTTTCTTTGGGCCAGCAAATGTGTTTGGCATGCTTTGCAATATATTGCAAATGAATTATCCTTTTATGAACTTCAAGTTCATATTATCTTATTCGAGGATCCAAAATGTACACATGATAGTTCGTTCCACGTAACTGTTTCTCAATTGTTTATCATGTTTCCCCCTCATGTTAGAAAAACTAACTTTTTTCCTCAATTTTGGAAACTCATCTTTGTGTGTTATGGTATTAATCAAAATATACACCGCACATAAATAATAATAAAAAAAGATGAAATTATTTGGTTCCTAACCCTGAACCACTTGTGAGGGGAGAATGTAATATACTTTCGTATATAACGTATATCAAACTTATATACGTAACTTTGTTCTCATAAGCAATAGTTTAGCTATTAAGTGGAGGCACTCAATAAATTATTTTGCTAAATCAACTGTGATGTAAACCAACTTATCAAGATAAACTATCTTGAATAAAAAATCTGGTATATGCTCTAAATTAATTATGGAGCAAGTTACCTCGCAAACACCAGGTTGCAGGTTAGTAATAATCGCACACGTAAACTATCTCATAGATGCATCTTATGTGGTTTACATGGCAGGTGAATGGGAACATATTCACATTTGATATTTCCAGCATTCATTGAATTCAATCCCAATTCTAGTTGGTTTATTAATTAATGAGAACAAGCAACATAAGAGAATTCATAAAGAACTTTCTAGTTATTTAATATTTACTGATCGAGGTCAAACCTGTACTACTATGAAGTAGCAAGAGAGGTCGAAGCAGCTTTTACCCGAGAAGGTCGGGATCGATTTCCACAGGGAGCTAGATATTGGAGTTGAGTTTATATCTAAATGGGAGTTGTGTAATTATTCCTAATTGCACTTCTAAATATTGTTTGTTTTGATTTTACTTCTAATTTTATATTACTAAGATGCTAAATTAGGCTAAGTAAAGCTAAGATTAAACTATTGAAGGTTGTTCAAATAGATAAAAGGCACTAGGGTAGTGACTTTCTCCTAGGTGGCTAATTGACGGATTCTTGAGTCTAAGGCTAGATTGTCACATTTGGGGAGTAAGTATGGTATAACCATTGCATGATTCTACTCACTCTATACCTCTCGGTAGTTCGAGTGATTTTGCCCGAATTAACTTTCTCAAGACCAATTGGGTATGATAATTTGTGCAAGCAATTAAGGTTCAAGTCGGGTATTACTATCTCTAGATTTAACCCTTTAATTGGGGCTATCAATCTCTTGAATACGCCCCAATTCCTTGTTGGACCAATTTCATGGACTTATGCTCTCTTTCTCAAGAAGAGCCAAAGTCTACTAGGCATAAACTAGTGTTTGCAACCACTAATTCAATATTAAAACCCTAAATTAGTCCAAATATCAAACACTCATAGATAATCAGGCATCAAAACACAAGACCCATCAATTACCCACACTAGGGTTGAGCCACAACCCTAGCTAATGGGTCTAGCTACTCATGATTATAGAATAAAACAAAGAAATAGATGAAGAAAAGCCCATCATAATTAATTACTAGATAAAACTTGAAGATTCAATAATGAAATTAAGCTAAAATTACTCAAAATGGTAAAAGAGAACTATTCACGAGCGCAGCTCTACGTCCAAAAACAACTGATTACCTAAAAATGGGAAAAGAGACTATTTATTCTAGGCTGAAAATTCTGGACAAAAATACCCCGGCGGGGCTAGTGCGGACCGCACAAAATCGAGTGTGGCCGTACTAAGGCTCTTGGCTGAGATATGTGCTCTCTGAAGTTGGCCATCGCGGACCGCACAAAATGCACCGCAGATGTGGTGGCTTCTGTTGCGGTCCGCACAAAATGAACCGCGGACCGCATTGGGCATAATCCTCCAATTGGCAACTCTCTGATCTTGGGCTCTGCGAACCGCACAAAATCAAGTACGGCCGTAGTGAAATCATTGCGGTTCGCACAAAATCCTTTGCGGCCGCATTGCTTGGTTGCCTAAAATGCATGCTCTCTGAACTTCATCTTTGCGGACCGCACAAAATGGTGTGCGGCTGCACTGACCCTGTTTGACTGAGCTTGGCCTTGGTCTTGGTACTTGTGCATGTTTCACTCCTTTTTGAGCTGGTTTTTGATAAATTGTCACCTTGTTGATCAAACCCTGCAATCAAGTACAACATGTGAGCCTTTGCGACTATTTTGTACACATTTATAATCAAAACTTAAGCAAGAAGGAGAGTAAAATACATCATAATCCCTAGTTATCAACTCCCCCAAACTTAAGCTTTTGCTTGTCCTCAAGCAAACAAAATAAGACTCACCCCTTAAGAGTAAATCCAAGAAAATTCAGCCGACCTAAAGTGACCTCATCTAGCATCAATTGGGACTAACAATTGCCCTCAATTCAAATGAATCATTAACAACATTCACTCTTTTAAACACCATGGATTTAGTGCGACACAAGAGCATCAAGAGTTGACTCAACACATCAACGAAACTCTTTCTATTACTTTGGTCGTTATGGAACCCAAACTTACACATCCTCAACTCTTCCTAAGCAAACCTCACCTTTAAGATAGTAGCACTCAGAACGAGGTTAATGGAAATACACTCATCTCTCTCAAGGGAAAGTCACAAGTCCTACTCTAAGTACCATATGCTTGCCCCTTATGTGAGTCACCGCTAATGTAAGTTTCATTCAACTCAAGATCATATAGGGCTTTTGTGGAGACATAGTGAAGGCTTTTGGTTCAGGGTAAAAAATGTTTGATCTAAGTAGGTTCCATCTTCCCTTTAACACTTCTTTTGCTTCATTTTGGCATGCATTCACTTGACTTTTTAAGTCATTTCACTTCTTTCTAAGGGGTTAGAGAGACACACTGTCACTCTTTCTTGTTCATTTCAAATCTTTTCTCCTTTTTCAACTTTCCACACCTTTCATTCTTTGCTTTTATTGAATCCCTTTTATTCATTTCTACATTGAACAATCTTTTTGTCTTTTTGATTTTCTTTCTTTTTCATTGCCTTTCCTTTTCTTCATTTTGTACCTTTCTACCACTTTGTTGAAATCCTCGTCTCTCCACCCCCCCCCAAACTTATACTTTTTCCATATGCTAAAGAAAGATCGGGTGCAAAGAGAGGGTATCTTTAGAACGGGTAAAGGCTTGTATCGTGGTTCTTGAACGAAAAAGGTCTAAGGCTCAAAAGGGTTGACTGGGGATTTTATTTTTGGTGGGCTATGGAAGTGTTCAAGATATCATTTGGATCAAGGAAAGCTTATAATCATGTCTCAAGTCAAATTACACTTAGGATTTCGCCTAGACAAACATTCAAGGCAAATTCTAGACCAATGGCTCGGGACTTGCAATGCAATTTCTCACCACACAAGCTATGGGATCGCTAAAGACATAGAGTCGGGGCCCACAAAACCTTAGATAAGATTTGAGCACATATTGGTCTCGAAAAGCCACTTGATGATTATCGGCCAACACAAGTCTCAAGGTCACAACTTTCACCATCCTATACACAACGA